CAGAAAAAAAACCAAAAACTGAATAAAATGGATTTAACCGGTTTTGCACGGATGCTCCTCATTTATCACCGAATGAAATAATGTATAAAACTTAAACCAAAGGAAACTTATATATTAGTTCAAAACTCTTGGGTATACTTAAAAAAATCAGATTTAATTTAATAGGATAATTATTACCAAAAAAGTGATATTTTTATAAAAGAATTATTGTAGAATCGTATACAGAAAAAAAACAAACAACAAACAAAATTGATTTTTTTTCATTACAAAATGTTTTAGACAAAATCTACCTATTTTAGTACTAATTGATTTCCCCCCTCGAATCATTTAATTTTTATATTAAACATTTTTTCGTAAAATGCATACCTACTAACTGAGATATTTCAAAGTTAAATGACACCCTGTATAGTAAAATAAAACCATGCAACGTACAGCACATCATTTAAACGTTTTATTGGCTACATTGGCAATCGAATATTTATTTAAAGCAAATAAATAGAGGAAGATAAGAAAAATCGTTTGTCAATTGCAACTGGATCGAAGTTCAGCATATCAATTTCAAGAACTAACGGGTTAAAAGCCAATTGAAAACGAGTCTGTCAGCTATATTTAGTGTGGCTGAAAAAAAGTTCACACGAACGTTGCAAAAAATGCTAATAAATCAGTTAAATGCTGTGGTCTAATCATTTATTTTAATTGATAAACTAAACCCAATACCTACGTTGTTTATATTTACCTCTTCTTGGAATGGAAAAAATAAATTCAAGGTTAAAACACTAAAACCAAAATTATGTAAGAAGGTAATACTTGAAACGGGTTTTCTTTTTTTTATATATTTAGGACAATGAAGTTTTTTATTAAAATTAATAATTAACGGCATGTCTGCAGTAGCAGATTTTTAAAGAATTTAATTAATTCCAGAATATTCATAAAATACCATACTTTATCAGTTATGATTACAGCATAATTTTCTTGCTTAATTTTTAAAAGAAATTAATTTGAAACATGACCTTTGTTAGACCAAATAAGATTTTAATTGTTATCAGTTAAGAAAATGAAGTCAGTGTCCTGTTATATAATATTTGCCTTGATCTAGGCAAAATAGGGTGGTCTTATCATTATAGTTGCGTATATTGTATTATATAACATGCAATTAGTTTACATCAGACTTTGAGGAAATAGTTTTTTGTAAATTTAAAATTTCGCACTGTTGTCATTTAACTTGAAACTTTGAAATATTCCCCCTTATAGGGGGAACAGGGGGTAAAATTTCCAATGGAACACCCTATTTTTTATTGCAGATTCGGATCATTCGGCTAAAAATAGGTAGATTTTGTCTAAAACATTTTTTCATATTTGTAATAAAATAAATTCTAATTGAGGTACATATACAAAAATGGTATTTAGTTATAAATAATAATTATTTTTGAGGTATAAAGAAACTATTTGTAGTTTAGCAATATTTAAAAAAATTAGTTCGAAGATTACACTATAATTACCAACTATTTGCTCTCTCTTTCTAAAACTTGACATTCGTAATTTCTTTGTTCTTTTAATTTTATTTTACAAAATGGTACTTACAACGTAATAAAGGCCACCCTAGAGTAAAATTAAAAAATATAACTTAAATTGTCAAAACTAATAATATTTTGCTATAAAATAGGCACTATACATCTTAAAAATTACACTATTGGACAAAAGTAAAGCAACAACTGTATAAAAAATCCAACTCCAAAACGCCTTTATTATTCTTTAAGAAATTTTGGATAAAAATACTTGAACTTAAATCTCAGTTTACGTGTTTAAGGGTTTTTTGAGAAAATATTTTTAAAGCCCATTTTTTTAATATTAAAAAAACGTTCGAAAAATAACTTTTACGGAAATTTTTTTTCAAGTAAATAAAAAATATTCTGTTAATGACCAGTAACGAAGATACAGCGATTCAAAGTCGTCAAAAATGACCACTTTTCAGCAAAATAATCAAAAAAGGGTCATTTTTACCGACTTTGAAGCGCTGTATCTTCGTTACTGTTCATTTGATTTGTACAAAATTTTCAGGGTATACTAACAAAAATACGGTATTTAACAGTATATTTTTTATTTACTTGAAATAAAATTTCCGTAAAAATTGTTTTTCGAAGGTTTTTTTAATATTAAAAAAATGGGCTTTAAAAATATTTTTTTAAAAACCCTCAAACACGTAAACTGAGATTTAAGTTCAAGTATTTTTTATCCAAAATTTCTTAAAGATTAATAAAGGCGTTTTGGGGTTAGATATTTTATACAGTTGTTGCTTTACTTTTGTCCAATAGTGTATATGCCCTCTAAATATTTTAAGGTTTTAAGAAAAATTATTGCCTGGGTAAAAATTTAACAAAACTTAAAACCTACAAATTTTTAAAAAATCATTTAGTTTTAATCATTTATTAATAACTAAAACTTTCCTTATTATTTTAGAAAAATAGTTATGAAACATTTTCATATAAGTATGTAAATGTTTAGATAAGTAGGTAATGGATGCCACTTTAAAAAACTCATTATGGCGACCTGAAAAAAGTTTTATTTTTCACTAATAACCCTAAAAATACCAGGCGAATAGGAATTATTTACGTTATAAGTGGTCTTAATATCGTAAAATTTTGAATTATGAGTAACATTTACCATTAAGTAAAAATTTTGACGTTAAAATTTCCTTTAGCTGAAATACAATTATAAGTAATTTTCTTTGGTAAAAATTACGTCCCTCATAATACTTGAAAGTGTTGAAACTTAAGGGTTATTAAAATAGGTAAAAATAACATAAAAAAACTTAATTTAACAAAATATTTACAATGCTGCTTGGGATATTAAGTCCTATATTGTAGGTACATTTATTGGCAAAACTTTTCCAAAGGTGAAAGGGCAATTCTTGATATGTGACAAAAATGTGATGTAGAATACCAACAAATACCAATTTTCGACGATTATTAAAATAAGTGTTAAAAGCAATATTTAATATTTTTAACTAGTAAGTATTAACCGTGAGACAACAAACATAAAAAAATATTTGACATTACCACCTGTTAAAATTACGATACTTTTCTCTCATGACATTGTATAGGTACGCAGAAACATATTTTAAATATTTAATACAAGAATTCTTACCTTAATACATAGGCATCAATTTGGTCGTTTTTGGTAAAACTGATAATTTCGCATCTCACTATTTTTAGCAGGGACTCCAAGTTGTGTCTGCAACGAAAACAAACAAAACATTACGCTGGTGCATCGGCCAAATTACATAATATTTTGAAGCGGTGGGTGCGAATTGAAACATAAACAAACCAAAGTGAAAAAATTTCCACTTTCCACAGCTGATGGCTCGAAGACATTAGATTGTACCGCACTATTTACGTGTCAAATAGGAAATCGATTTGAGCTCGCGAAGTCACATTCTAACGCGCCGTCGGCGATTGTTTAAACAAACGCCAAACTGACCTTGGTATTTTGCGTAGATCCGCTGTTTTGGCGTTGCCATCGTCGGTCGTGAACCAGATTTCCAGAAGCTTTTCGACACCCTCGAAGAATTGCTCGCCGTCGCTCATGTTCACTTCTGTCGCGGCCATACCTTGTCCTTTGCTCGCACGAAATTAAATGAGAAAAATTCAATCGCGAGTCAATCGCCGGTCTCGCAGCGTGCGCGCGCATCTCCCTCCAAAATGTGCCGAAATTTTGTTGTTTTGTTTTGTCGCCCCATCTCGCGTGTGAACGTCGATATGGGACGCCCTGGTTTTTTGTAATACATGCGTATGTTTGTAATTTCAACATAAAAAATCACTATCACGATAAATCTATGGATTTACATGCGTATGTCCTATATATAGGATTAAGGTTAGGTTTTCAAAATACCAACCGGTATTTACGAATTTATGTTTTGTTTGCAATTTGGGTTAAAATTGCATTGATATTTTCTTTGTTTTGTTTTTTTTATTTATAATGGTTTAGTAGGGCTATCGGCCATTTTAAAAAAGGATATCTTATAGTTGATATCAATAACTATCTAGCTAAAAGCAAAAAGCTCTGTAAAAATTATTATAGATCCGTTGAGTGAAAAACCTTAATCAATGATAGATCTATGTTGTAGATAAACATATTTTGACTTCAACAGGTAGGCAACCAACATCACAACCGAACGCGTACTTTTTTCAAGTTTTCCAAGCAGCATTTTAGGTAAAAGCGTAGAGCTTTGAGGCAATATTATATAATTTTTTAAGTTAATGTTTTGTTAAATTAACCTTAAAAATTTACTATGAAGTAAAACTTTTTTTAAAGTTATTTAAGTTTTATTTATGTTATTTTTACCTATTTTAATAACCATTGAGTTTCAAAGGATTATGAGGGACCTAATTTTTACTAAAGAAAATTACTAAGTGTATTTCACCTAAAGGAAATTTTAACGTCAAAATTTTTACTTAATGGTAAATGTTACTCATAAGTCATAATTTTACGATATTAAGACCACTTATAACGTAAATAATTCCTATTCGCCTGGTATTTTTAGGGTTATTAGTGGTAATAAATACTATTAATATTGACTAAACAAGGAAAAATAAGCTAAAAGTGAAAAATAAAACTTTAAGGCACAATATTTTTCAGGTCGCCATAATGAGTTTTTTAAGATGGCATTCATTACTTATCTAAAAATTTATATAGGTAATATTTTTTCATAATTATTTTTTTAAAATATAATAAGGAAAGTTTTAGTCACTAAAAAATTATTGAAACTATAAAATTTTGTAGGTTTTAAGTTTTGTTGAATTTTTACCCAGGCAATAATTTTTCTTAAAACCGTAAAATATTTAGAGGGCATAGGTATAATTTTTAAGATGTATCATGCCTATTTTTATCAATAAAATAATGTGCGTTTGCGTTTTAATGCAAAATATTATTAGTTGTGACAATTTAAGTTATATTTTTTAATTTTACTCTAGGGTGGCCTTTATTACTTTAAGTACCATTTTGTAAAATATAAATTAAAAGAACAAATAAATTACGAATGTCAGTGTTTTAGAAAGAGAGAGCAAACAGTTAGTAATTATGGAGTTAATTTTACGTAAATTTGTGGTATTTTCATTGTTTTTATTACGTTATACTCTTAGTAAATCAAAAAGGTTATTATGTAGGTAAAATAACGAAATAAACCATTCCCAAAATTTGGTAATTTTTCGTATGTATATCGTTATAATAAAACCGTTTTGGTTAATTTATTCGTTAAACTCATATACTGTACTTACTTAGGTTTTTTCATTTCGTAACCATGTTTTTCTTATACATAGTTTGTTCCATCTATTTAAATGTAAACAGCATAATTTGGGGTTTTAATTTAATGTATTTCGTATTCCGCTGCAATGTTTAAAAAATATAAATTTTATTTACTTAGTATAAAATTGCCAATATTAAACATAATTATCACAAAAAATCGCAACATTTTTATTTAATTAACAAAGTTACAAATTATAGTAGCAATACATCTCACCGCTGCTTACGCACGAGCGCTAGGTACATATAACGAAAGCAACAAATATTCAGATGGAGACGTGATGGCGTAGCAGCTGCTGAACATTGATCTTAAATCAAATCACATATATTTGTACGTGATTTGATTTGATTTGAACATTGATGTTTCTAGTTGGGGAAATTTCTTCAGGATCTAAGAATAACCCGTTCATAGACATCCTCAAAAGTGGCAGCTATATTCTGGATATAGACGGACATTTGGTGGATATCCATGGGATATCTAATGGTTGTCTGGGACCTTATATAAAAAATTATTGTCGCAATGCAACATTTCTTTATAAGGTGTCGCTATGGTGGTTTCGAACGTGTTTATTAAAATTTCCACTGTGTATGTAAGTTTTCTGGCAATGCTCGCATTTGTAACGATGGCCGTCGTGCACTTCGTCAATGTGCGCGAGTCTACTTTTCCTGGTGGAAAACTTTTCGTCGCACAGTGGACATTTGTATTCTTTTTTTAGCGCAGCATGTTTGATTTGAAGGTGGCCATACAAGCCTCTCCTTTCGGTGTACATTTTTGGGCAATGCGGGCAAGGGAACTTAAACCCTTCGTGTGTTGACTTAATGTGCGTGTTTAAATATCCCACCGATGCGAAGGTTTTGTCGCACTGTGCGCACTCGTATTTTTTTCTTTGCACGGGATCGCCGTGTTGGCTTTGAACGTGTTGCTGTAAAATACTTCTTGTAGAGTACGTTTTCGGGCAATGTGGACACGTGTACTTAAAACCTTTGTGTTTTAATTTTACATGTTGGGTTAGAAGGTCCTTTTCCGTAAAATTTCTCTCGCATTGTGCACATTGGTACTCTTTTTTCTGCGGAGAATCGTGGTTTAGGGTTTTCAAGTGCTGTCTTAAGCCGCATTTAGTAGTGAAAGTTTTAGGGCAATGCGGGCAATTGATCTTGAAGCCCTCGTGTTTTGACCTTATGTGATCGTTTTTTGTTCCCAAATGCGAGAATATTTTCTCGCAATGCGGACACGTGTATTTTTTTCTGTCTGTCAAGTCGCCGTGTTGGCTTTCAATGTGCTGTTTTAAATTATGTCTTGCCGTGTATTGTTTTTGACAATGCGGACAACGGTTTTTGTCGTCGTCGCCTTTTAATGCTTCCCTAAAACAAAACAAACTCAAAAATTACAGAAATGTTATTATCTATCTATCTATCTATCTATATATATTTTACAATGTTTTAAAAGTCTAAAACCTATCCTCCGTGACTGTTACTATTTCTAGGTTAACCTATATGTTTTCAAATATCTGAGGTAGTTAAAGCATACTAAAAATATCAGTTCACTAAGTAAATTAAACACATCCAAGGCAATCGAATGAAATATAAAATATTATTAAAAATTGAAATTTAACTAAGGGAAGTGCTTTTGGATTTATTTACAGAAATTAAATGTTTAAAGTTTAACCTGTGAACTGGTCCCAATTTCATCTAAGTAAACAGAGAAAAAAACTGATGAAAAAATTAATTTTGTGGTTGTAAATATCTTAAGATATTTACAATTTGAAAACATAACCTAAAATTTAAAAGAAATGCACTAGATTCTTTCATAAAAGTTGGCAGATTTTGTTTGAATTTACCTTCAGTACAAAAATGAAATAACCAACAATTAATAAAAACGCCAAATTGACAATTTGCATTGTTAATTTTGTCATTTTTGTAATTAAGCTAAATTTAAACAATGTTTGTCAACTTTTTTGAGAGATTTTGGAAAAACTGTTGTTACCAACCATAACATAATAAATCCACCAGATTAACCTAAAGTTCCTAGTCGATCAGTGGCGTACTTTTTGGTAGGATAAAGGTTATTATAAATTATTTTTAGACTTTGGAATTTAGAAAAAAAAGTTTCAGGTGCTTCTTTATGGACCCTAAGGAACAACCCATTTTAATATATAACATTAATTACATAACACCCTGTATATATATGTTAATCATAAATAAAAAAATACATTAGGAAAAACCAAAAGAAACAAATTTGTACAACTTTTGATTAATTTGGATAGATGGCGTTTGTAGCTGCGTTTCAAATTAAACGAAAAAACATAACCACAAATTCATTCATTCAATTGTTTTAGCGAGAAATTAGTTTAAATGGTAAAGTTCTCAATTGTTTTAATTAGTTTAAATAGTAAAGTTCTCAAGGTAAGTTTGACAGATTTCAATGAATTGGAGTTGAAAGGTTCATAACGAATAAAAGAATTTTAGATGGAACAAAGTTTATTTATATATTTAAATCACTTACCCTGATTCATCTTCATCATCAGTTTTAACCTTATGATAATCCACTTCAGTTTTTGTCTCCAAAATGACTTCATTATGTAGGTAGTTTTTTTCATCTTCAGAAAAGTCACTATCCATTATATCTTCCTTTATTTCTTCCTTAATATTGCATAATAATTTTTCACTTTCATCTACAAGATCAGGTTTGTCCCTTTCTTCTACACTTTCATTGATTTTGGATCTAAAATTATATTTAAATATGTTTGTGGAAAAAATACCAGGGGAATGATATAAGACCTTGTATATTTGTTTTTTAAATAACTTACCCTAAATCATCTTCATCCTCATATTTAACCTTATGATAATCCATTAAAAATTTTGTCTCAAAAATGGCTTCATTATATGGGGAATATTTTTCATCTTCAAAGTCACTATCCATTTTTTCTTCCTTAATATTGCATAATATTTTTTTAGTTTCATCCCCAGGATCAGATTCATGTTTTTCTTCAACACAATCATTGATTTTAGATCTAAAATTATATTTAAATATATTTGTGGCAGTTAGGTTTTATCTGCCAAAAAAATACCAGAGCAATGATATTTCTTCTTATAGATTCATTAATCATGGTATAAATTAAAAATCTAAAATACTTACTCAACCTTACAATAGTGTCTACATTTTTCATTATTATTTCCTTCAAAATTTTTTGGTTCAACAGAATTTTGTACTCTTCCAAAGGTTATTAAACTGTCTAAAAGTGATGGGTTTTCCTTTTCTACATCTTTAGAGTGTATAAGGTTAATATTCTCTTTAGTGTCCAACTCATCAAGTAATTGTACCTTGTTCTCTTCCATAAGATTATTTACTGTAAAAAAATTAAATTATTAATGGTTAATAATTGCAGCCAACAATTCAACTGTACTAGTATAATAAAGTGTAGCAACATGATAACCTCAAAATTTGGAAGAAAAAAATACATATTTAATAATACAATACATTACACGATTTAGTATCCATAACATAATATATTAATATATTATATCCAAATCCACTAATAGTAACTGTTTTATAAAAGTTAAAATACACAAGCATAATAATATTGCATTGTTTACTAATTTGACGTTTCTTAAACCAAGTGACAGTTTTCTACTATTCCACTGCGTGAAAACCAGCGAAGGCAACCAACATCACACCACACTTCGTATACTGGGTTGCATACAAAGTTAAAAAGAACGTCTAATTTATAGCTGTGTACTTAAATAAATATTTTAGCGAGTGTGGTTGAATAAATAAATTTAAGTTTCTGTGAAATAGCCGGCAATAGTTTTTGCCAATAAATTTTGAGAGTGCGGGATATTTTTTGTGAAGGTAATTCTTGAAATCTTAAATTATAAGTGTTAAATTTAGATTTTCTTTGTAGCTAATAATATTTATGTTTTTTATGTAAACATTTATGATTAAAGGTGATTTTTTGGTTGATTGGATTTTTTATTATGATATTTTTAGTTAAAGAATAAAGAAAGAAATTAATTACTGTTTTAACCCCTTTAAGAATTATAAAACCCTGTGCATTTTAGGTGGGTATTACAAAACTTTAAAATAACGTAATTTATAGACAAAAATCTACCTAAAACATTTAATTTAACGTTTTCTAATACTTTTTACACCCCTAACATGGTAGCACCCTGTATATTTCCTCAAAAATTCTTAAAAATGGCCTCTAAACACCGTTGAAATCTCTCTATTTCCGAATTAAAACTACCCCTTTATCTTCTCGATTTTCTGCGGTCCTGATGGAAAAGCTGCAGCTGGGGTGTTGAATCCAAGCCTTAGATTCCAAGGGATGTGGCATGGGGGTGGCCAGCGGCGTCTGCCCCGCCCCTTCAACCCCTAAATCGTTTGCCGGCCAAACAACAAACAGATATTTTCGGGATTGTGCGCCTTGGAGAATTTTCGGACTTTTTTCATTGTTGCATCTTGACTTTACTTTTTGTTTATCAAAGGGCAGGTAGGTTTTGTTACAAAAGAGGTATTTTCGAGGCGTATACGAGGTGTCAAAGGCGCTATTGTTGAGTTTTACAATGATTTTATTATTGATGTACAATAACCCCTTAAACGGGTTAAAATATATACATTGTATTGTAGTTTCTGAGCGTTTTTTAACAGTTTAAACAAGTAATAAAAACTCCAAGATATATTTGGTTTCTGGGTTATAATGTAGGTTTTCTCGAGATTTACTCGTACAGTAAAGGGCTTTAGAGTTGTTTTCTGTAATCCTTTTGCGAATGACCAAATGTTCTTGTGATTTTAAGGGTTGGTTTTGGGATAAATGTAAAATCTGTGTTGATTTAATCTAAGGGGAGAGTTAAGACTTAAAAATAAACTTTCTATCTATGCTTGCAAAATGTTTTTGCTGTACTCCTCACAGGGTAGGTTACCTAATACAAATCAACATTGTTTTTAAAGTTAGATAAGTTTGTTGTTTGTGTAAGCATTTTGACGATATTTATGTGGAAATATGTACCTACATGGTTTTCCGATAATCTCGAACCAATGCCATAAGTACCTACGACGAGTTTTTGATTTATCAGAATTCTGAAGAAGCTGTTGAAATTTCGAGGTTGGAATCTTTTTAAATTGGATTACTTTCGTATGGAATAACAAACTCTCAATTAGTCGGAATTAAAAATATCATATTCAATTCAAAATAGGTATAAGTATGCTCATTTAATAAAATAAAAATAAAATTGAATTAAAAATATAGACTGGGCCAAAAAAATCAACTATTTTTTTTTTGAAAAGTTTATCGAAAATATGGTTTGGGGCGACAAAAAAAAATTATTATAATTAGTTTGAGTCCATAATATTAATATTTTTTAATTTTAGATTTTTTTTCCTGAGCGAGTTTTTGTCTCAGAACTCCCAAATCATTGAGTTTAACAAAATTGACTTGGGAATATTTTTTGAAGAAAATTGAATGCTCTACAAAAAAGGTTGGATTGGAATTTTCCGTCAGATTAACCCTTTTCTTACAATCATGCTTTAAAAATTGGTATAGTTTTACAATTTGATCTTTTAACTTTGGAATTTTGTAATTCAAGTAAAAATCAGTACCCTGAAAAAAAAACCGATAAATATTCTTATGGGAAATCAAATGCTCTACAAAAAAAGTCTTTTTGGCTAAATTCACCCCATCAAAAGTTATTCAAGGTTAAATTTGAAGTCAAAAGGAAATTTTAACCTTTTGATTGAGTGAATTTAGCCAAAAATGTTAAGAGGCTTTTTTGTAAAGCATTTGATTTCCCATAAGAATATTTATCGGTTTTTTATGGGTACTGATTTTTACATGAATTACAAAATTCCAATTTAAAAGATCAAAATGTAAAACTAAACCAATTTTTAAGGCATGATTTTAAGAAAACGGTTCATCTGACGGTAAATTTCACTTTAACCTTTTTTGTAAAGCATTTAATTTTCTTAAAAAAATATTTTTGAGTCAATTTTGTCAAACTCAATGGTTAGCGAGTTCTGAGCCTAAAACTTGCTGAGGAAAAAAAAATTAAAATTGCGATGATAGACCTCTTAATAATAATATTATGGACTCAAACTTTCACAATAATTTTTTTGTTACCCAAACCATATTTTCGATATACTTTAAAAAAAAAGTTGAGTTTTTTGGCCCAGTCTAATAATAATAATATAATAATGATATAATAATAATATCATAATGATATTTTTAAAACATTTAAAAATAGCAAAAAAAATCAAATATGAGAAGCAAATATTTTAGGTATTACATAAAATTAATTCCTGACTAAAAAATAAAATAGGTAAGACCCCGAATATCTACTAGATATTATTGTTTGCACTTTGTTTTAAAACTACTAATTAAATTATGGTTTTTTTCTTAACAAACGATAATAAAAAGTAAATGGGGCTTTTAAATTTTAAAAGCCATTGTACAATTCTGTTAATCATCGATAATTGTAATAAAAAATACCATTAAACAATCTATTTATTTATTAGTATAAAAACAATTAATTTTTCAAAAATAAAATGAGGTTTTCTTAAAAATAAAAAAATCTTAAAACTCATATTTCAAAACATTTTTAACTCTGTGACATTTTTCCGCAATTTCATTGGTCCGTTCGAATCATGGCCCTCCTTCCGAGTTCTTGTTGCATAGCGGAGGTGCATCTTAGCAGGCCAGTCTTAACCCGCGCTCGCCGCAATCAACTGGGCCGTGCAAAGGCAACTTTGATAGAACGCGAAAAACGCGCGCTTCGATTTTGCAAAAAATTGTTTTGCTTTTTTTAATTTGTTGGTGCGTGGGGTTTGGAGGTTGGATATGCGATTTAAATAATTTGTAAGTACGAATGCTTGTATTAAATTTTTTTCATCAAAAACGCACTTAATTTTTATTCATTCTATAATAATTTTCGGTAAAATTAGATTTAAAATATTTATTTTAAAATGATAAATTAATAAACAAAAGCACGTGCAATGCATTTTTTAAATTTCTTAAAATAGTTAAAATATTTGTTCAAGTAGGCGTTATTTTAAATTAAATCAGTGTTGAAATTCCTACAAAAATATATTACTTTAACATTTTTTATTTCTTTTTTTAAATACTTATATCGAGTTACAGCATACAAATAAGTCAATGAGTTAACACCTGTTAACAACTGTTAACATCACTAAAAAGAGCGTAATTTTAAAAAGCTGGGCGCCAAAATATTCAAAAATACACTTTATACGGGCGACTATATCTCGTGTTTACTAAACCAAAACAAGGTTGAAAAAGTTAAGAAAATTGAGAAATTACACCATACAATCTGGAAAATCTAATGTTATTAAATTAAGGCTATTTTTAAATCTAATCAAAATCTGTTGAACGTTTTATGAGTACTAAAACATTTTTCCGTAATTAAGTTAATCTTTCAAGTGTTACAGCAGGTATTTATTTATGTTTATATGTTTATTATACGAGTTACCAACTAAAAAAACCGACTTGTTCCATTACGTATATGTATATTAACCTATAAAAAGCGATGGTGGTGATACAAGTTTTACGTAGCTGTTTTTGAGATTTTTAATATTTTTTCGAAAAGAGCGTGTTTTACTTAGTATACCCTGTAATTTTCACTATAATCGTACGAAAATTTAGTATGGCACGGGAGTTGTGTAACACCCAGTATAACTTTTTTATTTGTGGGTCGATTTTGAAACAAAAAAAAATTTCAGATGTCAAACTTTGATTTGAATGTCAAGGTGGCGAAAAAGGTGGTTTTGTCGCCTTTTGGTGACTTACGTGGCCACTATTTTTGCCGTTGGCAGCCAAGAAATCACCAACTTCGTGGCCACGAACTTTTTGCAAGATGGTGAGTTGGAAACCAGGATCTACTTCGATGGTGTTACTGCGAAAGAAACCGTTTCAAAAGGGTATGTATATAAATAAACATTTTATTCAAGTGTTTAACATTACACTGCAGGTTTTTCCTATAAGTAAATTAATTCAAAATAGTGTTTATTTGACCTAACACCCTTCCCAAAACATCGGGTTGTTAACTATAATAAAAATTTAAATCACGTCGTTGAGACGGGCCTTAAGTAAACAAAAGCCTATAGGGTGCTGTGCCTACTAAACTCTATGATAATTATGACTATTTTTTATAATTCCTTACAGATGTAAAAATGTTTATATCAGGTAGTTTTAACAGGGTTGTAAATTACTTTAACTTATCAACACAGATGCTAAACAATAAACCTTTTTATAATATGGTAGATATCTCTTGTGGCGCTTAAATAAGCTTTTTTGGAATTCCCACAAAAGTTCAAGTATCGCTAGTAGCGCCACCACTCGTAACAAAAGAACATCTTTTAATATTGAGCTGTCAAACGCCGGAAAATGTTAAAAAATATCGAAAAAAAACCGTGGCACGATTTGTTGTGTCGTTGGGTGTATTTCGAGAGGAAATCCTGGGTTGAGTTTTTACCGGTTTTCCAATACCTAAACAGTGTTAATCCGAATGAAGAAATAAATTGCATACAGTCTCTGTAAATATAAATTGTACCTGTTAGATACAATAAATACACATTTTAGTAGTGATTAACGTGAAAAGTGGAAACATTTCAATTCAGTAAAATTCGTCAAACAAATAAGTCGTCTAAATTTAAACAGCATTTAGCATTATTAAAAGCGTTGATTAAGAATCCACTCAACAGTAAAATACCATTATATTATGTATTATATATAATATTATAATGCCATGAATTCGTGGGTATATTTTGTTGTTTAAAATGCAGTTGTCGGCGTTTTTTAGAGAACTCAAATATAAAAGTGGTTGATTTTAAGGTTATGTTATTTTTTTACTAATTTCTTAAAAATGTCCAAACTTAAATATAAGTTATATTAGGTAAAGTTATCATTAGTTAATTCTGCACCAACAAATGTACTTACCGAATTGGATCCTTTGGCAAAACATGAAAATGCAACGATTTAGTTCTTGAATTTTATTTACAATTAAAAACACAATAATTCACCCTGACAATTCTTAAATTCACGCAATGCTTTTGGAGTCCACCAGATGGCGCGACATTTATTTATTTTTTTTTGGGAAATTTATTGGATTTTTTTTAACTTGTCAAGTTATAATGTTTTTGGGGAAAACACTCAAAATCATAAAAAACGATTAAATGAATAATAAAATGTGGCTCAAACAGAACATTTTCTCGTGAAAATCAAATGTCATTAATATCGCCTCAGAGAAAGGACATTCGAACAATTGCTTACTGAGTTGTGAAAAATCAATGTAACATAGACAATAATATTTCTTTTGGGCTGCGGTATAGTCAATTCCCTTTTATCACATTAATTCTGTATCAACGAATTATTTCGATGTTATTAATTATAAGATACCTACCTACAACGATTATTAAAACGTCTTGCCTTAATTTAAAATTATGTAAGATTTTTTTTAACAAAAATGAGGATCGAATGTCATTATTTTATTAATTTGTAAAACTGTAATATTAATAAGTCACTTAGGAGTGTTTGATGTATGCTGTATTTGATGCATAACACCCCATGGGTTGCAGACACTTTGAAAAAACCATGTCCTTAGACATAAAATCCTTTGAAAGCAGTGACGCTCCTTGTTCGTCGATTTGTAAGTAATTCAATTTTGACTACACATTATTTTTCCCTTTATGCAATTGAAACGTTAATGCATGACAGATTAAATGTATATTGATAGGTTAAATTGAATTATTCTTTGTATGGTGATATATTAGAGCATTTGGGGCTTCCAAATAAACAGGGGTAAAGGCCAAAAATTCCGAAGAAGAAGAAGAGGAGGAAACAGTTTCAAAAATTTGCAATTTACAACTTCTTTATTTATTACCCAATTTTCTTGAAGTTTGCGCAGTTTTACTATAAGTTAACAGTTTTATGTTTATTACGCTGTGTTATGTAAGTTTATATATGTTTTCATTTTGCTAGTTGCACCTTTGCAGGAGTTAAATAGAATATGTACCGAACAAAACAAGTTTGACGCCTACCTAGCGATTTTTTTAGAAACCCATTCCAGTTTATAAAACTGTTTCGCATTTTAATTATATTAAGAACACCCTGTATTATTAAATACCTTTCATCATTACAATCGGAGTTGATTTTATGATTTTAGGTTAAACAAATCATACACCTACATTGAGAATTCCATTGTGTATAGATCTATCGTCTAGGTACTACAATATCTGTTGACTTAAGCAAGATTGAGAACCGTCTAAACATAGGTACTTCTAATGAGGGATTTTCTTGTGTGAATCTGCCATGAGTATGAAAAATTATTGACAAGTGTTTCTTAGTTTCTGGACTTGAATTTCCCCTTCGAATTTGAATGTCAATGTTAGGTAAATATCGGCGAAAAATCTCGACAGATTTCGCCTTGTTGTTTGACAGTCGAACTTCGGCTACGGCAGTCAAGTGGCACAAGGGCGGCTACGAGAGGGTGAAGAGGGGAATACAGACCGCAACTACTTAATACAAAGCCTCTTGATACCGAGCTCTTGCCTTTTCCCTTCTGCATTGTGCTTTTTTTATTGCCTCCCACACTTTCAGCTCGACCTAATAGTTTTTCATATTTGTCCCGGCAATTTTTTTATTAAACCTTAAAAATCATTAATTAATTAAAAAAAAATTCAAAAATATATTCGAATGTTTCCAACATTCTTAAGAATTGTGGCTTTAGACGGTGTGGATCACGTGATGCTCTTACATCTCGCCTCTGTTAGCTTACTTGAGTAGTATATAAGCTCAGGTAGTATTTTGTTTTGCTGTGTTCCACTTCACCAAATTGCCCGACACTGATGAGACCCGATATAGGGCGAAACAGCTGTCTGTCGGTATTTGAAGTTGGTAAAAACAAAAACTCTGTCAAGGTGAAGGTTCAATTCTTTCTTATGAATATTACCAAGAAAGTTTCTTGAAGAAACTAAGAAAATTGAATGTTTATTCTTAAGATAGTTATAGCTAGTTAACATTCTTAAGACATTAATAGCTAGATTAAATTGACATTCTTAAAACAGTTATGGCTGGTTTAACTTTAAATTCTTAAGACAGTTTTAGCTAGCTTCTTGACATTCTTAAGATTGTAACAGCTATCTTATTGACATTTTTAAGAGACATACATATCTACTTTAAATTGATAGTCTTAAGGTAGTTATACCTATCTTGTTACATTCTTATGACAGTTACAGCTAGTTTAAATTGACATTCTTAAAACAGTTATAGCTAGTTTAAATTTACATTTTTAAGACTGCTATGGCTTATAGTTATAGACTTGGTTATAGATATACAGCTATATATAGCTTTCTTGTTAACATTCTTAAGACAGTTATGACTAGCTTTTTAACATTCTTAAGATACTTATACTGCCCTGCTAAGCAAGACTGCCGTATCTACGAGAATATTAAGTAATAAAGGAAAAAAGATCATTTTAATTGTTAAAAACATTAAAAATGATCTTTTGTCCTTTATTACTTAATATTGTAGATACGGCAGTTTTGCTTAGCAGGGCAGTATAGCCATATTGTTGAAATTCTTAAAACCGTTATAGCTAGTTGAAATTTAATTTTTTAAGTCATATCCTTAAAATAGTTATAGCTATCTTGTTGCATTCTTAAGGCAGTTATAGCTAGTTTAAATTTAAATTCTTAAGACATGGTTTAGCTTTTTGACTTTCTTAATATAGCTATATCTATCTTGTTGACATTCTTAAGGTAATTATAGCTAGTTTAAATTTACATTCTTAAGGAAGTTAATGTTAGCTTTTTAATGTTCTTAAGATACTTATAGCCATATTGTTGACATTGTTAAAACCGTTATAGCTAGTTTAAATTTACATTTTTAAGTCAGCTATGGCTAGATTCTTGATATTCTAAGATAGTTATAGCTACCTTGTTGACATTATTAAGACAGTTATAGCTAGTTTGAATTTACATTATTAAGACAGTTATGGCTAGCTTTTTGACATTCTTAATATAGCTATATTAATCTTGTTGACATTTTTAAAACCGTTATAGCTGGTTTAAATTGACATTCTTAATATAGCTATAGCTATCTTGTTGACATTCTTAAAACCGTTATAGCTGGTTTAAATTGACATTCTTAAGACAGTTATAGCTACCTTGTTGACATTCTTAAGGCAGTTATAGCTAGTTTGAATTTACATTATTAAGACAGTTATGGCTAGCTTTTTGACATTCTTAATATAGCTAAATTAATCTTGTTGACATTCTTTAAACCGTTATAGCTGGTTTAAATTGACATTCTTAAGACAGTTATAGCTAGCTTTTTGACATTCCTAATATAGCTATAGCTATCTTGTTGACATTCTTAAAACCGTTATAGCTGGTTTAAATTTACATTCTTAAGACAGTTATGGCTAGCTTTTTAACATTCTTAATAAAGCTATAGTTATTTTGTTGACATTCTTAAAATTGTCATAGCTGCTTTAAATGGACATTCTTAAGACAGTTATAGCTAGCCTTTTGACATTCTTAAGATAGTTATAGCTATGAAAATCTTTGAAAAAATAAAAAGTATAACCCACAAATTTTATTTAAATCCAAAGACATCTAAAAAACTTATCTTAAGTTCAGTAAAAATAAGACATTCGTATGATGATGAAAGTGTCGGTAACTATACCTATTTAAATTATCCAAGTTATTTTAATTGAAACTGTTAAATTTAATTGAAGCTCTGGATAAAATATCACACCGTTTTTTAATAAATCACCCTCTATCACACAGTCAATTAATTTTAATTGTAGTACACAACGTTTTTTAACGTTTAGGGCTTTACTTTATTAAGACATTAAAGAAAAAATTATCAAAGTATCATTTATAGGGCGTAGCGGACACTCCTTAAATATCTTTTAAATACTGGTTAAATACAGAGTGTTTTTTTTTAGAATGATTATTATACAATGTAATGTTAAAGATTAGTAGGTCTAAATATTATGCGATGAATTATCTCCATTATGTTGTTATCAATGGTTAGTAATTGTACGATTTTTTGCAAAAGAAAGTAAACAGTCTTTGAATGTAAGCGATCTAAAGACGTCTGTATCAAAGTAGGCTTTTCATCTTAAAGAGTCAAAGGGGCGGAAATTTTTGTCCTTTTTTTGATGTCCAGGCTTTAAGGGCTCCATTAAGCTAACGATTAGTTTCACGCAGAAAATATACTGTGCGATTTTTTCTCTATAATGTTGTGGGTAATGTTTCATCGGAATTAAATGCGAAGACAGTTTTCTTGGCATTTAAAAATGTACACGACTAAATAATGGGACCGATCGACTTATTTGATAAACTTAAAGACAAGTACATGTATATGTATGCGTATATGTGAAACAAATGACTTGTGTATAAACGTGATCAATCAAATATTTTAGATTACGTATGCGATACATTATACGCTTATTATTAAAAAAGGAAAATTTCTCGAGATTCCAAATCTAATTGATTAATAAACTCAGCCGAAGGCAAAGATTATCCCATGAGATAAAATGTACCTTTGGTTGAGGGTTTATGGTTTTTTAACGTTCGTTTTTTATTTGGGAACGTGTTTATAGCAGGGGCGGTTTCTTGAAAAATATTAAATTTCCTTTTGTTAATCAACTACGAAATTAAAGGGGTGTATTCACTTAGTGGGTTCCTAATTAAGATATTACTACTTCAGTGGCGTGCCTAGACCAAATCATAGAAATAACCCAAGTAGCACAAAGGTTTTATAAAATCGCCATTTAGTTTACTAGTTTTATAACGGTCATATAAGGTTACTATAAACTCTAGGTATATAATTGTTTCTACACACATTTTATATAACCTTTAGTAACCGTTACCAGTAGGTTTATAAAGGAGTTTTATAAAGTTTGCCGTTACCTGTTTTATAAAACTGTTGTGTCTTTAATTTTTGAGTTATTAATTATTTATGTGCTTAATAAACCAAAACTGTTTAGTAATTGAAACAGAAATTAAGCACATAATTTTAATTAAAATTTGGTTGAAAAGAAAATATTTAGCATAGAATATATAAGTAATATAATATTAATAACATATATTATAATTATAATTATTTTAAAATTGGATTAAATCGAATGTTTAGTGAAATAAATTGATTCCATTGCGTTACCTGAGCGATTAGATGGTTGCCTATCAAAAGTTTTATAACATCACTTGTAGTAACGACAGTTACAGTAACTTTTTTATTTCTGAAGCGATTTTTGTGATTTTTTTTGCGTTATATTAAAAAAATACTGTATTCAATACAGTGTATTGAAAATACTGATTTTTTTTTTCAAAATCACAACGTATGTGCGTAAATAACTAAAAATCTAATACAATAATATCTAGATTGTGACCAATTAAATCTTATTTCTTAGAACATCTTTTCCATTGGCAATTTTATACCGAGTCTTTATTAAGGCGTGAACTAGCGTATTTTACTCTGTAAACCTTAAAACGATATTTCACAACAAAATTAAAAGAATTGCAATAAAAATGTCAAATTTTTACATTTCAAGGTTATATCTGTCATATTTTGACATTTAAAACCTTGACAGAAAAATTATTTGACATAATAAACCATGAACTGTCAAAATCCAACTAAAACCAGCAAAGAAATGTTGATTTTGAAAAACGATTGGGCGCCAAAATATCAAATTTGTAACTTTTTTATTTCTGAAGCGATTTTTCTGATTTTTTTGCGTTATAGTAAAAAAAACACACTGTATTGAAAATACTGAATTTTTTTTCATAATCACAACGTATTTGCGTAAACAATAACTAAAAATCTAATACAATAATATCTAGATTGTGACCAATTAAATCTTATTTCTTAGAACATATTTTTCATTGCCAGTCTTTATTAAGACGTGAACTAGCGTATTTTACTCTGTAAACGATTTTTTACAACAAAATTAAAAGAATATTTTACTCTGTAAGCGATTTTTTACAACAAAATTAAAAGAATTGCAGTAAAAACGTCAAAATTTTGACCTTTCAAACTTATATCTGTCATATTTTGACATTTATAACCTTGACAGAAGAATTATTTGACATAACAAACCTTGAACTGTCAAAATCCAAATAAAACCAGCAAAGATATGTTGATTTTGAAAAACGATTGGGCGCCAAAATGTCAAATTTGTAACTTTTTTATTTCTGAAGCGATTTTTCTGATTTAAATATTTGGTCTATTTATAGTCAATTTAAACGTAATAAGTATACTTGGGAATAGTTTATGTCATCTTGGAAACAATCAAACCTGTTAAAAGCAATTGTCGTACGCCACTGATTTGGCCCCCATGCTGCCACAAAAGGCAAATCTAGTACTCAAGCAAGGTCTAATTATTGTTTTATACTCCAGGGGTTGGTAACATTCCCTCGCCCCGTTCAGATATAATTCGTAAAAAGACATATCATTACAACAGTAAAGGGGTGGCATGTTAAATGTATAATTAATCAAAATACCGAGTGTTGCAATGATTGGGGGTGGATAAGATTACTTAACACTCTTAACGCTTACTTTCAGGTCTGGTTTGAAATTTCGCCAGCTTTCCGATGGCAAACACTTGATACAATCGATATACAAAGAAGAAAATTATTTGGAGGATTGTGAATATGGTCTTAAAAGAGATCAAGTAAATGAGTTCCTAAACACTTTTAAAAGCGATTTAAAAGTTCTATTAACTACCTCTAACGTTACTGTGCAATCACTGGATGGTTTGCCCCTGCCAGATGAGTTCAACTGGTTGAATTACACGTATTTAAGAAAAAAATGCCAGAAGAAACATCGAGAAATTAAGGAGTTGGCTGACAATAGCAGGTGAGTTTTTTCTATCTATGGTATCTCCAAAAACAAAAATTGTACAATATTGAAATTTCAGTATGTTGTTAGTAGTATATATAACTGTATTTATTCCAAATTATAACATTCTATCTTTATTGGTTGCAAAGATATAGCCACTTTTACAAAATGGCGCCCAACGATTCCTAAAACAGCTATAACTAACTCATAAACAATAACATATCGAGGATTAAAATTTTACTAGCATATAAATAATCTTGCTCTTTATAAGAGGTCCAAATTTCAAATTTATATCTTTATTTGTTTAGAAGATATAAACAAAAATATAAACAAAAACGAATAATTTATGACGGTTTTGATATAAAAATGCATAGCCTGACCGAACGGTTGATTTATTTCAAGTATTTCATTTAAAAATAATATCATGCGATATAGAATTAAAGAAACGGTCATTAAACATTCCTTTATTAAGTTTTTTAATGACTTAAACACAATAGTGGCATATTATTTGGTTTTTGTCTCGCACAATGGGGTAAAACATTCTTCAATATGCACAATGGAATTGATTTTTATTTTTGCATATATCTTGGAGAAAAATAAAGTTATGAGTTTGAAATTTGGTTTGTTTTTGGAGAATGATGATCTGAATAACATACCCAAATTTCATTATTATAGGATTAATATTTTCGGAGATAATCTAGATTTAAATATAAAACCGTTTGGTGTTATACCACCTAAAGTACAAGAGTTAGAGTGCTATAATTCGGGGTGAATATGTCAAAACATAACCTCAAAAACATACTAAAATTTCAAAGCACCACCTTTAGTGTTGCGCTTGTTGCAGGCATAAACGCGATTTCTCCGACTTGCTGAGGGTACCCGGCACTAAGTGGTGCGGTAAGGGGTATTCCGCGGACAAATACACGCGTCTAGGGGGATTTTCCCGTACCGATAAGTGCTGCAGGAAGCACGATCTGAACTGTCCGTTTTGGATTGGCGCTTTCGACACGAAGTACGGGCTTTTCAATTGGCGGATGAACACTCTGATGCACTGCGATTGCGATGCCAGGTAATGTTTTTTTTTTTGTTTTGTATTTTATGCATTTATACACTTGACAGAAGAATTTTTTGGCATAACAAACCTTGAACTGTCAAAATCCAACTAAAACCAGCAAACATGTTGATTTTGAAAAACGACTGGGCGCCAAAATGTCAAATTTGAAATTTTTTTATTTCTGAAGCGATTTTTCTGATTTTTGTTGCGTTATAGTAAAAAAACACACTGTATTGAAAATACTGAAACATTTTTTCATAATTACAACGTATGTGCGTAAACTAAAAAAGAATATAATAATATCTAGATTGTTACCAATTAAGTCTTATTTCTTAGAACATCTTTTCCATTGGCAATTTTATACCAAGTCTTTATTAAGGCGTGAACTAGCGTATTTTACTCTGTAAACCTTAAAACGATTTTTCACAACAAAATTAAAAGAATCGCAATAAAAATGTCAAATTTTTACATTGCAAGGTTATATCTGTTATATTTTGACATTTATAACCTTGAAAGAATAATTATTTGACATAACAAACCTTGAATTGTCAAAATCCAACTAAAACCAGCAAAGATATGTTGTTTTTGAAAAACGACTGGGCGCCAAAATGTCAAATTTGTAACTTTTTTATTTCTGAAGCGATTTTTTTTATTTTTCTTTCGTTATAGTGAAAAAACACACTGTATTGAAAATTCTGACATTTTTTTCATAATCACTAACAAACAACACCCTGTACATACACAGGACATGTAAAACAATATATTTTTTTAATGGTTGTGATGTTAATTTGTCTTTTGCAAATGTGCTATGACTTTAATTATTTCTGCGTGAGACAGGCCGTTCAAATATTCATATGAGTTCGGAGATTTTAAATACTTCCAGTCTGCATAAGATAAATTTTAATTGGTTTAGTTTTTATTTAGTTTATTGCTTTGAGTTTTTGCCTGTACGTCCATATAATATATTATTTGCTGTTATAAATTATTGAGAAAGCGTAATTTTGCTATAAACATAACAAATTTATTATTTGTCGCCAAGAAATGTTGGTACAGAACCATGTATTTCGACTTAAATAGACTTATAAACCTTCATAGAATACATAATTTAGTAATAAAGATAATTTTCTATATTTAAGTATTCCATCAAAGTATTATGTAAAAATAAAAGCATAATTTTTTAAATACCTTATAATAAATTACATCACCTACTAGAATACTAAACGTTTATTTAAATAAGTACATACACCACTAATTACAAAATAATAGTACGTTTAAAATTTTCCACTAACCACCTTAAGAATTCTTCTACAAATATTAACAATAATTACATGCCTATGTAACACGAGTGAGTTTAAACGGTATTTTTTTAAACGCTAAAGTAAACATTACAAAATAGCTCGCCTATTTTGCTTTTTGTACTACTTAAAAATATATTTTAAATACATTTTATAATAAATTTTCAAATTTTTTTGACATCTGTCAAATGTTGACATTTATAACCTTGACCGATGAATTATTTGACATAACAAACCTTGAACTGTCAAAATCCAACTTAAACTAGGAAAGGTATGTTGATTTTGAAAACAGATTGGCGCCAATATGTAAAATTTGTAACTTTTTTATTTGTGAAGCGATTTTTATAATTTTTTTGTGTTATAGTGAAAAAACACACTGTTTTGAAAATACTAACATTTTTTCTTCATAATCAAAACGTATGTGCGTAAACAATAACTAAAAAATATAATACAATAATATCTAGATTCTGACCAATTAAATTTTACTTTTTAGAACATCTTTTACATTTTCAATTGTATACTAGCGTATTTTACTTTGTAAACCTTAAAACGATTTTTCACATCAAAATTAAAAGAATCGCAATAAAAATGTCAAATGTTTGACCTTTCAAGGTTATATCTCTCATATTTTGACATTTATAACCTTGACAGGTGAATTATTTGACATAACAAACCTTGAACTGTCAAAATCCAACTAAAACCAGCAAAGATATGTTGATTTTGAAAACCGATGTGGGCGCCAATATGTCAAATTTGTAACTTTTTTATTTCTGCAGCGATTTTTATGATTTTTTTTGTGTTATAGTGAAAAACACTGCATTGAAAAATATTTAAAACATTTTTTAATAATCACGACTGTGCTCCTAAACAATAACTAAAAAATCTTATACAATAAGATCTAGATTCGAACCAATTAATTCTTATTTCTTAGAACATCTGTAATATTATACCGAGTCTTTATTAAGGCGTGAACTAGCGACGTTGATGTATTAATATTAAAGAAGAAAGAAAATATCCGAAATATTTTAATTTTCTTCAATTAAATCTGTAACTTGACACCTTGGCTTTCTTTCTCTAGTTAAGTACTTAAGTTTTGTTGTGTTTACAAATTGTTTTAACAAGTGGTCAGGTGCTACAAAACTATTCCCTACGATTTTCGTTCTCTATTTTATTCGAATAATATAAAAATAGGTACTCTTATTTTAAACAGCAATAAATTTTAAATGGGTGGTTTACTATACGCTGAAATCTATGATTTGTAGTGCTATGAACTTTAATAATAGATTTTCAGAATAAATACTCGAAATTTGAGATTTTGTCGTTAACATGTCGGGCATTCGCCACCTTTTGTTGTTCTAGTGGTTTGTTCAGTAGGGGGTCCCTTTGACCATTCTAACCATTAATTTTACAAATGGGCAGGTGATAGGTAAAAATACCCAAATCTACATTTCCAAGTATGCTACCCAAAAAGTGCCGAAAAGAACATCTTTGTGTCTGCATTTGTTGAAAAGACTGCTACAGATATACGGGGTGTTTTTGGATAAACTTTTGTTTCAGTTTTTACCTTAGTCACGATTTTTTACATTTTGGCGCCCTACGTTCATAAAATTGCTATAATTTCGATGATACCAACAAAACACTGTTGATTCTAAAAATTAATAAATACAGCAAACCCATTCCATAAATCAAGTAGGTATCTGTGCTGGTATAAATATTAATTACCCTTATATTAATATCTTGTAAAAAACTTTGATAGATGATGCTTGCACCTATCACCATTTATGGATGATTTATTTGGTACAGAAATGCAAAAGAATTTTGAAATCATCAAATAAGTTTAAGTTAAAACAAGCAAAACCACCTCACCCTGTAGGTTTAAGACCGTGAATAATTGATTTTGATATTCGTGGAGATAGAAAGCACGAATTTCAACCAGTTTTTTAATTAACAATGAGATAAAATTTTTACTTTTTTTTCAACATTGATTCTTTAAAATTTACGATCAATTTATACCCCTACGTTGCAGTAAATTTAATTTTTATTGGTTCAAATTTTACAATGTGTATCATATGTATATATATATGGCTATAAAATATGTAACACTGATTGCGATTGTTATTATTACATTTGCACATAAAAATATTTTATGGAGTTATTTGTTGGCATTAATTTAAGGTGGATTTGTCCGTTTTTGAAAACATACGATTATTGTGTCTTGAAGAACTTGTTTTCATTACTACACCCTTAAAATTTTATTAAAATCCTACGAAAATTAAGAAAGTTATAACGATTTTAAAAAAACATGGAAATTTTGTAAAAAAAATTTTAATTGTTGATTTTAGTGCGATTTTCACGAAATTTTCAGGGTATACCAAAAAAAAACGCGATAATTTTAAATAATTAAACAGTTTTTAACGCAATTATTTTTGTAGAAGATACAGGGGTTTGAAATTGTAACGGTGGGCGCCAAAATGTAAAAAACGCATTTTCTCTAACAGGAGCAAATTTTATTTAATATTTGATATTTAAAATGATTTTTTTGACGTTTATGCAAAATTATTGCCAACTAAAATGCCTATTCTTTAGGTATTCTTAACTAATTTTTTTTAATCCTTAAAAATTATTTTAGTGCGATTTTAATGAAATGTTCAGGGTATACCAAAGAAAACGCGATAATTTTAAATAATTAAACAGTTTTTAACAAAATTACTTTTGTGGAAGATACAGGGGTTTGAAATTGTAACGGTGGGCGCCAAAATGTAAAAAACGCACTTTCGCTACCTTGAGCAAATTTTATTTAATATTTGATATTTAAAATGATTTTGTTGACGTTTATGCAAAATTATTGCCAACAAAATGCTTATTCTTTAGATATACTATACTATTTTTTTAATCCTTAAAAATTATTTTAGTGCGATTTTAATGAATTTTTCAGGGTATACCAAAAAAACGCGATAATTTTAAATAATTAATCAGTTTTTAACAAAATTACTTTTGTAGAAGATACATGGGTTTGAAATTGTAACGGTGGGCGCCAAAATGTAAAAAACGCATTTTCTCTAACAGGAGCAAATTTTATTTAATATTTGATATTTAAAATGATTTTTTTTACGTTTATGCAAAATTATTGCCAACAAAATGCTTATTCTTTAGGTATACTTAACTAATTTTTTTAATCCTTAAAATGATTTTGGTGCTATTTTAATGAAATTTTCAGGGAATACCAAAAAAACGCAATAATTTTAAATAATTAAACAGTTTTTAACGCAATTATTTTCATAGAAGATACAGGGGTTTGAAATTGTAACGGTGGGCGCCAAAATGTATAAAACGCATTTTCTCTAACTTATTTAATATTCGATATTTAAAATGATTTTTTGGACGTTTAGGCAAAAATATTGCCAACAAAAATGCTTATTCTTTCGTGAATAACTTGTCTATTCTATTAACAATGACTTATAGGCCAAAACACAGCGTTATAAAAAACTAATCGAATATTCGCTTTTGTCTACTTATCGCCGATTTCCGGTCGAGCAAATTTCTCGACGCCCCGTCTTACAGAGGGATGCTACACGAAATATCCATACAACACACACACGCATTAGAGTCCCTCTTTTTCCTATGCACTGACGCAATACGCGTGGAAAAATTGGTGGGTAATGCCCCATTGGCATGTCTGCATGTTCTTGTTATGTCGATACGAAAAAACAAACGGTGGGCGCCAAAATGTAAAAATCGCAACTCGCCTATTCATAGAGCGATTTTGACGATTTTGACCCCTGTAAATCGTGTTTTTTTTTCGACAGAATTGTCTAAATAAATTGGTCGGGTCCTTAGCGCTTTACAAAGCTTTTTTCCGCAAGATCGCTGTCAATTAGTGAACGACCGAAAGCTTTGTGAGAGTTTTTTCGGCTTTTGGTGGAAATCCTGAAAAGAGGCTCGTTACGAACCGATTAATTGGGATATTCGATGTTTTTTTCACTTTAATTGTGGGTTTTAACTTTACAAGTGATTTATCTTTGTATCGGGCGACCTTTTTGTTGTTGGACATGAAAATATTACCCAATAGCTGGCCATACACAGACGTTATTGCGCGCGGTTTATCGTGTTATCTGCAAAAACATATGGAAAATCATGTACGTGAGTGAGTATCGCCGCGCGAAATGATAGAACGGGAAGGGATTTCAGACGTGCTTTTCTCTAGAGTGTGGCGTGTCCACACGCCACATTCCGCGTCACGGTTTACCTTTGCTTGGCAAAATTTCACGTTGAAAATTTGTACATGATCACATGCAGTTTCAAACGACTCGATAAATGACACTTTTTGCCCACTCACATACGATTTTTCCTTTGAAACTGATATACCACGGGCAATCACTTGCTAAATCATTTGAATATTTTATCAAGTGTATGGAACATGACGCTTTTTTTGCCACGCCGTTCTTTCGTGCATGCAAATCGCTACATGCCAACACGCCACGATAAACCGCGCGAAATAACGTCTGTGTATGGCCAGCTATTGACACGGAGATTTTTGATTAATTAATACTTTTACGATTTGTTGAGCTGTGGGAATGTTAAAAGGCATAAATTATTACGTTTCGCGTGTATAGAACGGAGAAAATACAATTAATTATTATTATTACTATTAAGAAACACTGGGGTACACGAAAAAGGGTCATTCGATGTAACGGGTAAATGATTTGCATGTCTTCCAGTGTTATGAACATAATTGAAATACCTTTTACCAAATTGTTGGTTGCATGAGGCCGTTAATGACTTTATAATACAGAAAATCAAATCGCATTTAACTTTTAACTTCAAGACCCACGGTGCGCCACTGAATCTTAGCTTGTTTATTGTGACAAAAGTCATTAAGTGCCTTAGCGAGTTTTATTCTAATTTTATGAACCATTAGTTCACACTCGATTTAATTGATCTGCGAAATGTATTTATTTTCGTTTCTAATTGCGAGGAAGAACCAGTCTTTGGAATCGAAAAGTGTTGCCAGGTGGTTAAGACAGCGCGATGGTAAAACATATAATATATTTTAAACACCCGAGATATTGTGAATTGGTCGTAAAAATGACCGGTAACACTCGAGACTATCGAACGTAGCTGCTGGAGATGTATTTATTGCCTCGATAGCTTACTACCACTCGTTTTGCGATATCCTTAATGGCGGCCGATATTTTCAAATTTCACTTATGGCATTAGAAAGACCGAGGTTTGTTTAGCATACCCTGAAATTTTTATGAAAATCTCCTTAAAAATGACTGAATTACAGCAATTTTTAAAAAAGTTAAGCGCAAAGTGTTAAAAATTGTAACTTTGTTATTTATAGTAGGATTTCCATGATATTTTCAGGGTATACTAAAGAAAACACGCCTTTAGAAAGTGCGTATTTTTTCAGTATACCTGAAATTTTCATGAAAATCTCCTAAAAAACGACGAAATTATAGCAAACTGTTAAAAATCGTAACTTTGTTATTTTAAGTGTGATTTCCATGATATTTTTAGGATATACTAAAGAAAACACCCTGATTTTAAATACGCCTTTAGAAAGTGCGTATTTTTTTAGTATACTCTGAAATTTTCATGAAAATCTCCTAAAAAATGACGAACTTATAGCAATTTTTAAAAAGTTAAGCGCAAAGTGTTAAAAATCGTAACTTTGTTATTTATAGAGGGATTTCCATGATATTTCCAGCGTATACCAAAGAAAACACGTTGATTTTAAATACCACTTTAGAAAGTGTGTATTTTTTTTAGTATACCCTAAAATTTTCATGAAAATCTCCTAAAAAATGACTGAATTACAGCAATTTATCGATTTTCTTATGAAATATAAATAATATATGTATTTCTTAATATACCTACATAAGTTATGATACACATAAAAAAATAAAAAACACATTAAACGACCCATCCTTTCATATATAAATATATACCTATAGTTAACTAAATGCACTCCAAATATGGTATATTGTAACATAATAAAATTAATATTTTTCAGGTTCAGATCGTGTCTCAAACGAGTTAGAAGCAGTGATGCCAACCTAGTGGGAAAATTATTCTTCAACGTCGTGCAAACCCAGTGTTTTCGGTTGAAGCCGAAAAAAACGTGCGTGAGATCCTCGTGGTGGGGAAAATGTAAAAAATTCAAATATTTCAAGCAAGCAATACTAGTTGAGAATCCCTCTTACTGAATATTAAATATTATTAGGTGAATTATTTTGGGCCGTTTTTTTTGTTGCGAATTGCCTATATCAACCGTACATTTTTTAAATTTAATTTACTTCATGTGAAAGACCGCGTTTTGTTTAGTATACCCTGAATTTTGCGTGAAAATTTCTTTCAAAATGGCGAAATTATAGTGATTTTTACTATGGTGGGCGCCAAAATGTAAAAATCATCCCTTTGTTGCTTATGGAGCGATTTTAATAAAATTTGTGGGGTTACTTTTAAAGTGGGTATTTTTTTAGTATACCCTGAAATTTTCATGAAAATCTCCTAAAAAATTACGAAATTACAACAATTTAAGCGCAGTGTTAAAAATCGTTACTTTGTTATTTATAGAGGGATTTCCATGATATTTTCAGCGTATACCAAAGAAAACACGTTGATTTTAAATACGCCTTTAGAAAGTGTGTATTTTTTTTAGTTTACCCTGTAATTTTCATGAAAATCTCCTAAAAAATTACAAAATTACAGAAATTTAAAAAAAGAAGCGCAAAGTGTTAAAAATCATTACTTTGTTATTTTTAGGGGGATTTTCATGATATTTTCAGGGTATACTAAAGAAAACACGCTGATTTTAAATACGCATTTAGAAAGTACGTATTTTTTTCAGTATTCCCTGAAATTTTCATGAAAATCTCTTAAAAAATGACGAAATTACAGCAATTTAAAAAAAAGTTAAGCGCAAAGTGTTAAAAATCGTAATTTTGTTATTTATAGAGGAATTTCCATGATATTTTCAGCGTATACTAAAGAAAACAAGCTGATTTTAAATAGGCCTTTAGAAAGTGCGTATTTTTTGGTATACCCTGAAACTTTCATGAAAATATCCTAAAAACGACGATATTGCAGCAATTTTAAAAAATTTAAGCGCAAAGTGTTGAAAATCGTAACTTTGTTATTTATAGAGGGATTTCCATGATATTTTCATAGTATACTAAAGAAAACACGCTGATTTTGAATACGCCTTTAGAAAGTGCGTATTTTTTTGGTATACCCTGAAATTTTCATGAAAATATCCTAAAAAATGACTAAATTACAGCAATTTAAAAAAAGAAGCGCAAATTGTTAAAAATCGTTACTTTGTTATTTGTAGAGGGATTTTTATGATATTTTCAGGGTATACATATTTTAATATTTTTACGGGTTTTTTATCAAAAATAGTTATAGGCAACCCACAAAAAAATCTGGACTTTTTAGTTTTTTTGTGATAAAAATGAATTTTAAAAATTATTTTTTATTTATGTTGGGCATTTTAATGTATTTGTATTTATATGTATATGATTTTTTTTAGTATTGAATGTACTTAGATTTATTTATTAATGTATAGAATTATCGTGCCAAAATATTAACATTTTTATTATTTTATTTCGTATTTAATAAACCCTTGAAAAAATATTATTAAGACAATATGGAGTGACTGATTTTGTAGTCATCTAATTATTTAATTAAAAAAATAAACTAATCTAGCTAGATGTAAAGTTTATTAATTTATACATTTTAATGTAAAATATATCATAATAATTGTAATAAATAATAATTGTTACATATCACAAAGTGTTTTATTTCACAAAAAATTACAAATCTATAAGAAATTATGATTTAATAAAAAACAATTTCTATAAAACCAGTTTATTTTATCAAATTTAAATTACAACGAATGATTAAAGACCACACAGAATAAAAAAAATCGTAATAAACACATTTAAAAATAATTTGTAGTTTTAATGACAACCTTATCTTCTGAGTTAATTTATATCGTCATAAAAGGCGCCTAAATAATAAAAAAAAATATTGCCATTGTAGTCTATGAGTTTTAGAAAATACTTTCACTCGCAAACGCCATTTCATTGGTCAAATTATAGTAAAGTTATTTATAAATGTCAATCTAAATATAAAGCTATAGGCATCAAATTTTTAACGTTTTAGCTATTGTTTATTGTTCAACAATTTCTAACGTGTTATTAAGTTATTTGTTTGGTTAAATGCGCCTCATTTTCGGCGACGCCCTAACATGATTTCTTAATGTTGGTTTGCTCAAAAATCACCACAAATTGTTATTTAAACAGGATACGTCTTGGGGGGGCGGAAAAGGCGCTCCTCATGCGTGACGGCGCCCTAGTGGAGGCTCTAGTGTTGGGGATCGAGTTGTTTAGCAGGGCCGTCTCTAAGATTGCTCGTATCATGCCCCGTAGTTCTTTATTTTCATTTTGTAGCATTTTAGATTCTTGCTTAGACTCCAAAAAGTCGATGTTTACTTTGTTGTAGGTTTGCCAAAAATTTTCGAGGGACTGCAAGTTGTCAAAACAACTTTTTAAACTATTTTCGTCGATTTTTTCCACCATCGGTACCTGTGGTTCAGGTTTTCTGACATCTAGAGATATAATTTTCGTAGGTTTTGATACAGATGTCTTTGGACGAATTTTACCTTAAAAATGTCAATTGTTTACATTATACCCTAGACTGGGCCAAAAAAAATCGATTATTTTTTTTGTTGTAAATTAAAAAAAATCGATTTTTTTTTTGTTGTAAATTATATCAAAAATATTGTTTGGGGGAAATTCCAGTCAAGCCTTTTTTGTAGAGCATTCAATTTTCTTCAAAAAATATTCTTAAGTCAAATTTGTTAAATTCAATGGTATGGGAGTTTTGAGACAAAAACTTGCTGAGGAAAAAAATATTAAAATTGCGATGATAGACCTCTTAATATTAATATTATGGACTCAAACTTTCACAATATTTTTTTTTGTCACCCCAAACCATATTTTCGATATACTTTTCAAAAAAAAAAAATACTTGATTTTTTTGGCCCAGTCTATTGTATATTGTATTGTATAATACAAACCTTTGACTAGGGTTAAGTCTCCAAACTCTTTTAGGTCGATTTTTATCATTGGGGCCCACTTCAAAATTTGCTCCTTTTCGGTTTCAAATTTTTGGCAGGCTTTCACCAAAACCATCAGTTGTTCACCCAAAACTTGATCTTCTTTTACTTTCGCTATGGTTTCCTCCCCTAGAGATGTGCACAGCATCAATTGTGACTTATCTAGAGCTAGATCGGTTTTCAATTTTTGCCTCAGTTTTAGATAGGCATGGTTAAGATCCTCCAATTCTTTTGAAAGTATTTTTATTTTTCCTTCCTTTGTCGTGTGCAGTTGTTCATACCTCAGGTTCAACCTGTCGATTTCCGACTATAAAAAGGCAATGCATTCAAAATCACCCTGTATATAATATACCCAAGTAGAACAACTGGTCAATACACATTTTACTAAAGGTTATAAAATGTTTGTAGAAACAATTATATAACCTAGAGTTTATAGTAACCTTATATGACCATTATAAAACTATTAAACTAAATGGCAATTTTATAAAACCTTATATAATTTGACATCTCTTATATAACCTTTATATAATTTATCGTTACCATAAGTGGGTATTTGACCAGTTTAGCTACTTGAGTAGGCCCACCTCCTCAATAGCAATCAACTCCTGATTCTTGCCGATCTCCTCCAAACTCTCCTTATCCAAGCATTTTAACTCGACGAAATGCATTCGTCTTAAATCCGTTTGTTCTACGTAAACCCTTATAACTTGCGCTATTTCCTTCCAGAGGGAGCTACTTACAAGTGCCTTGGACGTTTTTAAATCTTTCAATTTCTCGTTAAACTAAAAACGAAACAATGCCACTTAATTATGTCGATATACGTACCTAATTGTAATGAGAGGAAATGGCATGACAATCCGTTTGATTTGTTATGCTGTTTTTATTGTTTGTTTGTAATTATTTGATCATGTTTTTTTGGTATATAAAGGGTTTATTTGTTTGTTGTGCATAAGTTAACAATGTGGGTGAAATTAGTATTGTTTGTTTCTTGTTTTATAACCATAGAGGTGAGTATAGTTTTACTTATAGACCAGGTTTAATATTTTTTTTAGTCTTTAGATTGTGGGGTTAAAAATAAAGATACCAATGAAATAAACAGGGTTTTGTCTTTGTGCATAAAAAATAATGACACTTTTTCCAAAATCCTCGACATTATTTACTCAGATGAATCTTCATCATCTTCATCGGAAGAAACAAGTAATGATATGGGTAGTTTTTGTAACCTACTAACAACTTCTTTATTATTTAAGTTGATTTGCATCTGGGGAGATCCATACGTTTCAAACGGGACGATATTGATGCAACCACTGAAATACCTGATAATACTACTGAAGAAATCACCACTGAAAATAATGCTACTGAAATATGCGTCATGAAGTGTATATATGAAAGTTTTGGCTTGGTAGGACATAGCTATGTATACCTAGGTATACAGGGTGACTCATTTAACTTGAAGCTTTGAAATATCTCAGTTAGTAGGCATTTTACGAACGATTCTGCAATATTTTTTCTATAAGAATATCACTTCTTTTGGTAATAATTACCTTATTAAATTAAATCTGATTTTTTTAAGTACCCACGATTTTTTGACTAATATTTAAGTTTCCTTTGGTTTAAGTTTTATACATTATTTCATTCAGCGTAGAACAAGCAGTTTACTACAAACGGGAGTGTTCAACCGAAAAAAAGAGTTCGTCGAGCAAATATGTATTTAATATTGATATTTTGAGCCCATACTTTAACTAAAATTTAAAAAAAAAAATATTTAAAAAAAATAACAAGTATTTTTCAAGTTAAATGACTCACCCTGTATATATTTTTAATTATTTTGACTAATGATTTTTTGTAGCTCGACTCCAATGGTTATATAAATCATGAAAAATTCGTTAAAGGTTTAATGATGGCTACTGAAAGTAAAGAAATGCAAGATTTTTTCCAAGACTCTAGCAATGAGTGTTTTGTAGAACTGGATCAAGGTATTTTGGGGTTTTAGATCCAAATTCGACTTACCAGCTACACAAAAAATTCGATTTTTTTCAATAGCATTAAAAACCCTGTATATTTTTTTTAGAATACGATTTAGAGCCATGCTTATATTCAAACAAACTGTCGCTATGTTTGTCGGAAAAGGGAAAACTCAACTGTGAAGATTGGCCAGTAGGAGACCTTCCCTTCTCCTATTAATATCACAACTTTAGTAATAAAATTATTACCAACTGTTTTTCCTCGTTTAATTTCAACATATACCCCTCCCACTGGTGTCTTCTATTGGTACTTGCTATGGTACTTTGAGTGTACTTGATGGTTTTCAAAATATTTTCCCGATCTTCCAGGGTTTTTGTATGGTGTTCAACTTCTTTGTTGTTTTGCTCCACCATACACTCCAGATCTAAATCGTATTGACTATGTAGTTTGTCTATGTATTTGTGTTGTTCCTCCATTATATTTTGTATATGTGTGGAATGAGCATTGAAATTGTAGGAGTATTGCTCTTCGGCTTCTTCAAGTTCTACCATCAATTT